CCCTGGTGAACAGCTGAAAATGACTTGCCCCTGGGAAAAAAAATAATAATAATAAATTCCACATTATCATTTCAATGGCTCCTCACATAAATACCAAAGAATCAGAAAAGCTGGTGCCTCATGTTGCTCCCAGAACCTAAGAAATGGTATCTTTCAGTTATCGGATTTTATTTCTCTGCAGCGTTACATTTTATACGTATTTATTCATGCAGAACAGAAGCGCAGCGTTATTGAGGCTGCCATGGGAGCGGAAGGAAAAGCTGTTATACATAAGAATGCACCGCATTTACATTGTCGCACTTTGCAACAATCGAACTATATGCAACTGTTATTTTTAATAATAAAAAAAAATTCTGGTTTGCATTTCATTTGCTGATTTTTTTTGCTTTCTCTTAAATTTTCATATACCACAGAAATGTGAAAGGGGGAGGGGTCAAGACCCTTGAAGATACAGAGGGTTGGGGGCTAGCAAGAGGCAGCTTTCACGGGGAGGGGTCCTGGATCCGGAGCAAGCTTATAACTAGTATTTCTTTATAACGGATGCAGTTAACTGAACTGCAAAACATTCATCTTCCAATTTAATACCTCATTCTCCCGCTTGGAGAGGGGGGTATTATACTGCTGGATATTGCTTTTCAGGCTTTTGAGTGTCAATGATGAATCTCCATCTTCTAATAAAATACATTTTCATAGTAATTGAAATAATAATTTTTTGCCTCTTCATTTTTCCGGGTACTTAAAAAGAGGCTTTTGACTTCTTTCCCTTTCCTCTGTCCTGACTTTATTTTCTTTTCATTGAAATTTCTTCAACTCCTGAGATGCGCAGAGTCTGGGCTTCTGGCATCTGTGTTCTGGTGACCCGCACGCTGTCCCCACGGTCGCAGTGGCCACAGGGTGGGCTCCAGACCCACAGTGCTAGTTAGGGACTGAGACATCAAGGCCTGGAAATCTCAGCTGGGTTTAGCTTGTCACCTCCGTTCGCTTAGCAAGCTGAGCTGTCGCT